ACACACACACACACACACACACACACTGCATACAAGTTTGAAGTTTGACTGTTATGCATCATCAGAGGAGCACAGTAAAATTTTTATGTTACAGTTGCAGGGGGCGGGACTGGTGTATGGGGGGACAAGAGGACAGACGGCAGTGCAATACAGGATAAAAGCGCAGTGCAATACAAAGAGTGATGCAGTAAAAGACAATACAGTGCAATATAAGAGGAAGTAAACAATAAGTAAGTGAGAAAAAAAAATGCAATGGGAATAAAGATGTCCAAATATTATACACATACATATGATAGTATACAATAGTATCCACTTTTGTATGAGTTACAAATGAGTGTAACATGCTTTTGTGTATCGTGTAAATCCATTGTCCATATGGTCACTTCAGACCTGCCCTGAGCTACACGATACCAGAGTTGGGTAATTCAGGTGCAGAGAGTGAAAGTTCAGACCGGGATTTTGGTTAAACCAACCAATTGAGCATAAAGAGTCACAGTCACGGCGTACTCAAGTGGCTGGTTTAAACAAAATCCTGGTCTGGACTTTTACTCTCTGGCCCTGAATTACCCAACTCTGGAGACTTACCCGCGTTTGATTAGTCTCCCGTGCCAATGAGCCAGCGGCACAAATAGACTGCAGTTATTTATATGTGCTGCATTTCCCACAGGACAGACACCCCCTTCCTGACATAAATCACCTGGAGCATGTGAGGCGCAGGTGACAGGCGTCACATGGCAAAGCTAACAGCTGCCATTATGAGCACCTGGAGTACAAACACTTGCTATAATCTCGGAAATGTGTCAAAATTGAAAGGTATTTTAACAATAAAATATTCAACACCAAAAACACTCGTACCTCATCCACAAATTAATAAGACAGCTGTAGAGCTGAGCAGGACCCAACATGACCCAACATGACCCAACATGGCTCATCGATAACTAAAGTTGTAATTATACAGGGTACATTACGACATGCTTCAGTCTTACATGATATTCCTGCAAGTGACTGTGACCCTCACCAGGACAAGAAATCAGAAGATGGATGGATGGATGGATGGATGGATGGGTAGATGACTGAATTGGTAAATGGATGGATGTAAACCAGATTGTGAGGCTGTCTGGATTATGGCATTTCCCTGGCTATTACGTACGTACCCTCCTGATAGTTGTGTGCCCCATCAGGCAGGGCCAGAAACGGCAGGTATTTCCATTCCTCAGGCAGGGCACCACGCTCAGAGCCGTCCTGAGAGGCAAGCGGGGGATATGAGAACTCCACCTGCAGGGGGAGATGTGGAGACAGCTGGGTAACTCCAGGAATGCGAAGGATCACAGGATCGCTGTCCCCGCTGAAGCCCTCAGGTTTCAAGCACGTGGCTGTATTTACACAGACTGCTCATCCTGATCCTACATGGTTCGATTCAGTCACACAGGGATATTCTGACACTCAGCATACTACGTAAGATTAATACACTGTTGTAATAAAATTCACTCCCACCATAAACCTAAAATCCTCGACAAAAATGTTTATACGAATAAAGGCTGAAAAAATAATAATCATCATAATTTCAATTAAAAAATGATACTGTGTTACTTTGTTTTTACGCTACAATGAGTCTTATAGCACTTATCATTGCCTGAAAATCAAACAGCATAAATAACAACACGATCTTGAGAAAAAAAAAAAAAAGTATTTACTTTTTAAAAATGCGGAAATCTATTCTGTGTACACGTGTGTAGTGCGATCTGTCAAAGATATCATGACGCAAGACTCTTGCACTACACTTGTCATACTGTTGCAGTAAAAAGCAGCGAATACGCTGGGTCTCACTCAAACACTGTCCGCACGGAAACTCTGGTTCTGATCCAATTTATTGCAATACACCGTAAAAATGCACGCAGAGGGACTGCAGCGCCTTGTCTGTGTCTGATGTCGTAGATGCCGCATCAGTTCCAGGTCTTCAGAGACGTGGTGCTGATTCCTGATTCGGGACTGGTCCCGTCCGGCCAGACGCACCGCGCTAGTGTGGATCCGGATCCGCACTGCATTCGCCGAACCCCGGAAGGTAACACGCAGGTAAAACCCTGATCCCCGGTGGCGGCCGCTCTTACCTGGCCGCCCTTCTTGTGGTGAAATCCGACCACCACAACATGCAGGACGGCGCCACCCTTCGGCTCCATGGCCTCCGGAGATCGAGCTCGGCGCAGAGGCGAAGACAGGCCGGGCACAAGATGCCTGACAGCCGATGGCCGCCTCTGCTTCGTCCAGCCCCTGGAGCATGACGTCACGGCATCCGTAACGCCGAGAGGCGCCCTCTTCCGGTTCCGAAATTTATTGCTCGACCCACACAAATGCCGACCCTGAAAACTTTCATGAATGGGGAATGCAGCAAATAATCCATCCATCGGTCTTCCACAACCACTTATGCAGTCTGGTCGAGCACAAAGCATATTCTGGCTAGCCCCAGGCTCAAAGCACCCAGGATGGATGTTGATTATTTGCCGGGCACAGATACTCAAACACACTTTTTGTATAATAGGGACACCAATTAAGCAATTAATGTTATGAGGGTATGATTATATTGTGAAATGCACAGTAAATTCTGATATATTCCACTAATCCACAAATTTTCTAACGTGTTATAGATGTAGCAACTACATTAACGAAGTTAAGTTCTTCAGGAAAATACTGAATATTACCTGTTATTTAACAAGGCTTTCAGAGGATGAAAAATAATTTAGGGTTAAGTTACCTGCATGTTTTTAGTTACAAAGGACAGGACTTATAAGAAAGCAGCTTGTCTTCGAAGCAAAAGACTTCTGCAGTGTCACCTTTTACGCAGGAGAAAGGTAATCACTGTGCATGTCAGTGATCATTTGTAATGAAACTACACTACACTTGACATTAACATTTAGTGTAGTAATATGATCACTTATATAACCATGAGTCCCAAGCCGTTCATCACCGAACACAGGTGCCATTCACACATACCGAAGCCATATAAAATTGTAAAAAACAGTCGAATCAAATTGAAAGTCACACATGGGCATTATAGCATGACAAATCCTGTATTGTGTTTATTAATCAGTTGAACCTGAAGAAAGGTGATCACTGCTCTAAAGATGCTATCACACAGGGACGAGCTTGAGGGTCCTGCCCCCCCCCCTCTCCCCCCCCCCCCCCCC